AATGTGTGAGTTGACAGGCATTATGTCCATTGATTTGAAATATTGTTTTTGAAGTCAATGGCAATGATCTATACACCTCACGCATTATCAAAATCATTGTGCAAATTCATTGTACAAGTAGTTTAATTCATTTCAAAATCATCCGCTGTAGCACTTGGCAATACGTTAAATTTGTATCCGGTTCGAATCCCGGCAACCGAATTTATTTTTATTTGCCACCAGGCACCAATTTTTGCTAAGGAACTTAACATTAATAGCACTAAAATGGATAATATTTCCTTTGGATAGCACTATTTCTTATTGTTTTTGTTTATCATGACCTTTAATCAAGGGAAATACATGTCAAGTTGGGAAGGCAATAGGGTGGAATGGAGTTGGCTTCGAATCCAACCAGAGCGGCCCTTCGCGTCCTGTCCCGTCGAAAATTTTTGATAGATGGTGCACGAAGGGATGGGATTAAAATATCCCTATTTATAGTTACCTGTTTAATAATTTATTTATTTATTCGAATATAATTTAAATATAAATGTACTGAATGATTTGAGAAACCTACTAGAAACAAATATAATTAACTTTTTGCAGTCGAATTATCAAATCTTCCGCTGTAGCACTTGGCAATTCATCAAATTTGTTTAATTGGTATCCAGGTTTGAATCCCGGCAGCGGAATTTTTTTTTTGAAGAGTTCACGTATCAGGTATTAACTTTGACAATTGCAAAAATCAGGTGTTACGTTTCAAACTTGCAAAAATCAGATATTTATTAATTAATTAATATTAATTAGTTAAAAATTAATTTTTGATCAAAGTTTTTTTGCAGGTCACAGAATTTTTAATAGTCATATATAAAAAATTTTATAGGTCACAATTAATTCGTTGGTGACAGATCAACATTTATAAGTTACACAGTCACAAATTTTCAAATTAGTTGGTCACAGATTTTTTCACGGTCACATATTATATAATTTTTAAGTCACAGATAATAAAATGGTTGATTACAGATTATATTTTTAGTCACAGAAAATCAAAATCATTAGATCCTTCACTTGCACAATCATCGACTACAACCACCATTGTCAACCTGCCACCCACCACATCAAGTAAATACCATCGCCGTCCTACCTAGATCCACCGCACAACCATCACCACACAACCTCACCAACACCACCCAAATCACCACTGCCAACAACCGCTACTTGTGTTTTGAAGAAGAACACTAGTAGAATCATCAATTTTAGTAGTAACATATGCATCTCGAGGAGGAAGATGGGTAGATTCAATTCCAGAAGTTGGGGTGTTAATTGATGCAATTGGTTGCTTACCCATAGCCTTACCATTGCTAATTGAATTCTTGTTGGCTGAATTGAACAATTGGAGCAAGATTGAAGCATCAAAATGGTGAAAATCGAAGCTGTCGCACATGCTCTTCACTGCAGCCACAAATTGGGTCAAATTCAGGCTGTTGGGAGTTAAATCGAGGTTGACCCATACCTGGGAAGGTGCGTCTTGGGGAGGGGAAGAGGACCTAGTTACCGTGGGCCTTCTGGACAGCGCCAGAAACTGAATTTTTCGGACCTGCTGGTTTCTCGTTTGCGACTGCAGATATTGTTGTGGTTAATTTTGTTTTGTGTGATGATTTTTGGGATGAATTGTGGACATGGGGAGGGGGAGCCGTCGCACCGTAGGCGGAGATAGACGAGGGAGAGAGGGGAATGAGGGAAAATTGAGGAGGATGAAATGAAATTAGGGTTTGGGTAGTATAATATTTAATTACCTGAATTTTATTGAAGCATCAAAATGGTGAAAATTGAAGCTGTCGCACATACTCTTCGCTGCAGCCACAAATTGGGTCAAATTCAGGCTGTTGGGAGTTAAATCGAGGTTGACCCATACCTGGGAAGGTGCGTCTTGGGGAGGGGAAGAGGACCTAGTTACCGTGGGCCGTCCGGACGGCGCCAGAAACTGAATTTTTCGGACCTGCTGGTTTCTCGTTTGCGACTGCAGATATTGCTGTGGTTAATTTCGTTTTGTGTGATGATTTTTGGGATGAATTGTGGACATGGGGAGGGGGAGGGGGAGGGGGAGGGGGAGCCGTCGCACCGTAGGCGGAGATAGACGAGGGAGAGAGGGGAATGAAGGAAAATTGAGGAGGATGAAATGAAATTAGGGTTTGGTTAATATAATATTTAATTACCTGAATTTTGATTAAAAAAATTTCACACCTGATTTTTGTACTTTGAAATTTAAAGACCTGATTTCCCATTTATTTTTATTTGCCACCAGGCATCAATTTTTGTTAAGGAAATTAACATTAATAGCACTAAATGGATAATGTTTTCTTTAGATAGCACTATTTCTTATTATTTTTCATTGTTTTTGTTTGAAATTAACATCAGTAGCACTTAAGTGGTTAACCTTTTTTATTTGTGGCACTACTTCGTAGAATTGTAGATGGGTAAGTTGCAACACTTCTTTATCGAGTCAAGTTACTTACATCCCATAATTTAAAATAATCTAACGATCTAGCTATCGTAAATCTTTTTGAAAATCACATCCAAACACACCCCAATTAAGGTATTAATATATCTACACCATTAGATTAACTTAACTTAAGAGTTAAGATGATTAATAAAAAAGGAGATTGTTCCTCAAGTCAAAAATAATCACAACCCATAATTTAAAATAATCTAACGATCTAAATGTATGAAATCACGATACTCAGATCCAAACACACCCCAATTAAGGTTTTATTATACAATCTACACCATTAAATATTTAAATTAACTCAAGAGTTAAGAATATTTGTCAAATTCATTACTTTCTCGTCTTTAGTAGTTGATGTGCTCGGTTTTTTTCTATATCACGAGCATGTTTTGCGCATCATACTCGATTTCCTTCCAAGTCGAGAATGTTTAGTTTTGCTTCTACTTGCAAAAGCAGCAGTTTTTTGTGACTTAAGCCAAAATTAGTCCAAAATTTGTGACTTTTCTTGATGATAAAATAATTTTTATGGTAAAGTTTTGTTGACTTTCATAACATTTTAGTTTTGCCGTCGATGAAGATGGTCAACGATACCATAAACTCCGACGTGCCCAAAGGCTTAAATGTCGGGTTGATGTCAACAATAGGAAGTGTTAGGCAATTTAACGAAATTACTACAATTTGCCCACTCCGACAAACAAATCTAGAATCATGGAGTCAAATGCGGTCCATCTCTTTTTGCTCATTTTCAACTACTTAACAAACAATTCTTTTTGAGCTTTACAATTAATTATAATTTTGTGACACGCCATCTTTCATTTGACTCATGCACCAACTTATAAAATTGTTAGAATTCCTCTTCTTTGACTTGGGCCCGTTTGGTAAAACTTTTGAAACATTAAAAGTTGTTTCTAAGATTGAGGAACAGCTTTTGAATATATTCGTATTACTTTTTTTTAAAGTGCTTTGTCCGACTAGAAGAGTTTTTAAAAGAAGTTGATGTTTTTTACCTGAAGGAAAAGTCCTGCCAACGAGACTTAAAATACATTTTTTGAGGAAACGTTGGATACTTAATCTCGTCTAGTTTGGTCACTGATTGATGGAAAATTTTCTAATACTCTCGAAACATAAAGTAAAGTATTCAGTACTTTCCATCACTGTTTAATTAACACGTATATTAAGTTTTTTTTTTTAATAAACGTGGATGTTCGAGCCAGCTTACGCGCACCTCGACTAATCACACGGGACCTTGAAATTTACATCCGGTAATCACCTCAGTGGCCCTGAGGGGACTTGTGGTAAGAAATGATTAATCAATTATTTTCGGAGACTTTTAGGGTTTTCAGATTAAATTTCCATATTTTCAAAACTAATTATTAGTATTCGTGTTGAATTAATTAATTAATTAATATGTTAGACTTATATAATTATTCTTAATGCAAGGGTCAAATTTCAAAGAGTCAATGTCAATTTTTTAAATAAGGCGCGAGTTTATTTAATTGAAACTAACCTAATTACGGTGAACTCCAACTGTTCAAGTCTAACGAAGTTAGGCATAATACGGAACAATACCATCTTCTTCTTATTATAAATGTACTGATGGATTTATGCTTTCAACTTCATCGCATTCTTACCATTTTCATTGAATTGGATATAGATACACACAGAGATATAGATACATTGTTCATTTAGATCAACAATGGCGGATTCTCGAAGAAATTTTGCTCTGTTTTCATTGCTGATTGTTATGCTGTTCCTTGACGCAAATGCAGTGATTGGAAGGTAATTCATGATTACAATGCGAAATCAACGGTGTCGTTTTTTATACTGAAGATCAAGCTTCTGATAAGCCGTTTTTTGGAAATTTATGGATTTGATTGTGAGATTTGTGTTGTCTGTTTTGCTGTTATCCTCAGTTTTGTGGCTGTTTCGGTATTTTTTGCAGTGCTGAGGAAAGTAGGCAGTGGAAGAGCTCGAGGAACACAACAATGGCGGATAGGTAAGATTCATTACATAGCATGCAGTTTCAGAATTCATTTGCGCCGTTGGATGAAACAATGCTCCGATCTGAAAAATCTCATTCTTAATTCTGTTATGGTAGTTTTTCACAGTGTGGTGATTCTGTTCACACCTTTTTCAACACAATTCGCATTAAAAGCTATCCGTATATCTAAATTTTTCTTTTGATTTTCTTAAATTCCCATTGCTAGATTGAGTGTTCAACACCTTATGAAATTGACACTATATTAATTATTGATAAAAGAAATATATAGAATAGTGTATGTTTTATTAATTTATCTTCATGATTCATGCTTCAGGTCAAGTGAAGAAGTTGGGTTCAAACACGAACACTTGGTAGATGATCCTGAAGCAGTTGCTTCCATGGTTGATATGTAAGTTTCCTTCATCTTTAATAAAAATATTCTTAACTTTCTTCTCTATCAACCGGATTGCATTGATTAAATTTCAACTACTTAAAGTCGCATGTTTCACTTAATGATCATATTGGAAAGGAACAAGTAGTAATGAGCAAATTGGGCAGCATAATAGACAACATTTATGTTTTATAATCTACCTCACCAAACATGCTATTATTGTCCAGTATTTTCCACCTACTTATAAATTTTTCCGAAGCCCCATTAAAAATGCAGAACTTACGCAACTTTTATGCTGATTAAAATAGTTGAAGGGGCTAACAACGTCTTTTACACTAGAGGGGGTTATACATAATGCCATTTCCATCCCAGTTAGAATAAACGGTTGTGCAACATGTACATAATAGGTTTACTTACACATGATGTGATAAAATATGATTTGATCAGAATTTCTTTTACCAAATAATAAAAAAAATTTCCTCTCTCTTTGACACTTAATTTGTATGTAATTCATTATGTAACTGCTTATGTATAAGTAACATTATGCCAGCCTCCCGAGACTCCTTGGAATGTTCGAAATGGTTGCCTATTACGGGGCTCACTTTGTCTATGAAATTCAAATAGGATTTTGAGGAACGCAAATTTGATTCAGTTAGACATGTGTATGGTAAATTTGTCTAGTAAATATTCAATATGATTCCTTTAGCCCAGAAATCTTATTCTTCCCCAACTCCTACTCCACCTCCAGTAAATTTTGTTATTTTTCCCAGCCTGGCATCAAGAGCATAAATTCGAAAGAGGCAGATCTAGGAGCATTCCAGCAGATCTAGCAGATGGATGTACCATAAATATAATAAATGACCTTTGTCTATTAAGATTTACCTCCACCGACGCCTTAGAACTTAATTGCCGCACCTAGCATTTATTTCAAACTGTTCATTGTACTATAGAATCACGTGTATTTTCCTTATGGACCGTATTATTCTATTCATATTCTGCTTTCTAACATTAATTAGCTCGCCCACATTATTTTTCTAGACTTTGGAACGCAATTCTTGAAGTTGTACATTACTGTAAGGTCTCCATTGCATCGACGTATTCTATAACTATTGATTCAATAAGAAACATTTTATCCTGAATTACAGCATGAAAATATGAAATATGATTGATAATATAACAATGAAATGTTTCGATAATACAGGACTATCAAAAATAGTACACAGAGACGGGAATTGGGATTCTTCTCATGCGGAACAGGAAATCCTATCGATGATTGTTGGCGCTGTGATCGCAATTGGATGCAACACCGCAAGCGCCTTGCCAATTGTGCCATTGGCTTTGGGCGCAATGCCATTGGAGGGAGGGATGGCAAGTACTATGTTGTCACTGATGCAAGTGATGAAGATCCTGTAAATCCCCGTCCTGGCACCCTACGCCATGCTGTAATTCAAGACCGGCCTCTATGGATCATATTCAAACGTGACATGGTGATCACCCTAAAGCAAGAGCTGATAATGAACAGCTTCAAGACAATTGATGGCCGTGGGGTTAACGTCCACATTGCCAATGGCGCTTGCATCACCATCCAATATGTGAACAACATTATTATCCATGGCCTCCACATTCACGACTGCAAACCCACTGGCAATGCCATGGTTCGAAGTTCACCTTCTCACTATGGTTGGAGAACAATAGCTGACGGTGATGGCATTTCCATTTTCGGGTCAAGCCACATTTGGATTGACCACAATTCCCTCTCCCATTGTGCCGATGGCCTTATTGATGCTATCATGGGATCCACTGCAATTACAATCTCTAACAATTACTTTAGCCAACACAACGAGGTTAGTTTTGTTTTTCTTAAATCCTTACACACAATCTAGAAACCAAATGCAAAACTGAATATTCCAATGTGTCACTCATAAACAGGTTATGTTATTGGGACACAGCGATTCCTATCACGGAGATAAGGTTATGCAGGTGACAATTGCCTACAACCATTTTGGGGAGGGCCTAGTCCAGAGGATGCCAAGGTAACATATGGTCTCTCTGTAGATTTATTATCTTGAATAATCTCTAGGACTACAATTGATATTTCTTATTTTCATATACATACAGGTGCAGACATGGGTATTTCCATGTGGTTAACAATGACTACACTCAATGGGAAATGTATGCTATTGGTGGCAGTGCTAATCCCACCATAAACAGCCAGGGCAACAGATTTCTTGCCCCTGTCAATCCTTTTGCAAAAGAGGTTTGTTTAAGAAAAGTAACACTATTTACGGCCAAAATGTTGAACCACTTCATTTAAAAGTTATACTAAATCCAAATAAATAACGTGTTTAACTCTCAAACAACTTAAGTGAGGCGGTTCAACATGAATCTTTTAATTATGTTATCCCAGGAAATTTACACGAACTTTACCAAATTTTGTTTATAGGTGACAAAGAGAATAGGGAGTCCAGGTCAAAATTGGAAGCACTGGAATTGGAGATCAGAAGGTGACCTTATGCAAAATGGTGCTTATTTCACTCCATCTGGGCGTGGTGCTGCAGCTAGTTTTGCCAGGGCTTCAAGTTTAGCAGCCAAATCCTCTTCCTTGGTAGGAACCCTCACCTCTAATGCTGGTGTACTTTCCTGCCGCAAAGGTGTCCAGTGTTGATCTCAAATTTGGAGAAATAAATTCAATAAATTCATATCTTAGCATACTAAAATCTGACCAAATTCCTTGATCATGTTCGTCCATTATGACCGCGTCTGCCATTAATAATCAACTTGTCTTATACTTAAAATGATCAACCTCGGTCTGCTTCAACTCGAAATATTTCAGTTCTTTGGAGCAGACACAGAAGCGTTGTTCTTCATTTCATTATTTTTCCTCAAAAAATAAGAAAAAAATTCGACTTCTCCTTTGTGTCAAATCTCGACCTGCATATTGATGCATAGTTTGTAAACGTTAGAGAAAAAAACTTCCTTATTTAGCTTCAAGAATTTGTGTTGTCATCAATATGTAATGAGTAATTTTGATTGTTTCATTTATAATTTCCTACTTTCCTATGTAAAGCGTGTTGGTCAATAAAATCCCAATTTTCATAGTAGTAGTATGATGAACTTTTTTTTTTATTTCTTGTACGTTGCAATTGTTAAGGGATAAAATCTCACGTCGAATAAAGATGAAAATATAAACCAATTTATAAGAGTTTGAGCTACTCCTCTTAATAAAGCTGACATTTTAAAATGGAACCCCAAATCTTAACATGGTATCAGAGCCCGTTAAGTTCCAATGAGCAATTCGATCTGATTAAGACTCAAGAAAATTGAGCACATGGATTTCAAAATTGATCTGCTCAAACGAGCAACCATCTTGAGGGGGCATGTTAAAGAATAAAATCTCACATCGAATAAAGATGAAAATATACTTCAATTTATAAGAGTTTGAGCTACTTCTATTAATAAGATTGACATTTTAAGATGAAACCCTAATCTTAACAGCAATAACCTCATGTCGAGGCCATGTTAGTAAAATTATATAGCATAGATAACATCTACTTAACTCAAACAATACTTTAGGTCTCGAGATAGTCGGTAGACTTTTAAGAAGTCTTAAAATTTTTCACAATTATCTTGATTTTGAGATTGTTTTAGTAAAATTTATCCTCAATCATATCGAGTTTGCTAGACCCGGTCGAGTTAGACAGAAAGGGGTCAAATATTTTTTAAAAAATGTCAAATTTTATGTGATCAAATCTATTATCATAGCAATCGAATTCGATTATCACGCGAGGATAATAATGTTTTTAAATTGTAGACAAAATTATCATCCACTTTTAATTAAGTTGGCTTGACAATCTCATAGGAGCATAGGATGCTCCTCCAGATGTGCATTGCATATTTTACCACAATACTCATTGATTGCAATGATTTCAAATTTGATTGAGAAATTTGCTTTTATAGATTATGTCCCCATAAGAACATCATGATACTCGGAATTTCCCTAATATCTTCTCTTTTTTTGAGCTTTTAGAAATGTATCATGCTATGTGGATGAATCCGAGGTGAATGTTTCAGCTGGTTGTCCTAGCAAAATTAGTACTAGAAGAATTTCTAGGCAAAGATCCTCTCAAGCGATGCTTTTCTAGGCTAGACAATCGAACTTGCACATGTATTGGACATTGACACGTACTTGTCCAAATGGCTACACGAGTTCAAATGCAAATATTTGTTGGAGTGAAATAACGTCGCTCTTAAGTTCATGGATTGTCACTCAGATGATACTAGTAGAAATGAAAAAAGGTTTAGGCTACCCTCATTATTGACACCAATTGATTTTAGGTGAGATATTTGAAGTCCGAACTTACAAACATGCAATTTGTCGATGGTTGGACGATCCTTACAAGAAAGAGAGAGAACGCGAAGGAGAAGAGATTATAAACTCGAAACCTTAGTTCCTCTTTTATTGTCGTAAAGAGCTTAAATTCAAGAAAACTTTCAAACTTCCGGTATGTCACAATAAAATAAAAAAATTAAAATCAATTAATACGATTCACTTATTGAACATGGTTCTATAATCAATCTGAGACTGGATGCCAAAGTCGCCATCCCACAACCCTGTTTTCATAGTTTAGGCTGCCCCCCACCCCACTCCACCCCACCCCGCCCCAATCATTCTCATAAATTTAATCCAAAATCAAATAAAATCTGAAAAAAAAATTAAAATTATTTTTTATTTTCCCTGGAGCAATTTTAGATTTCCATCACATGACATTCTATCGTGCAGAAAACTAGCTCAACACATCTATATTACCTTTATTGTTGAAATCTAAACTCATCATGAAGACAAATTATGTTGACTGTAAATGAGAAAATTATAGCCAAACATATAATAATTTACGCAAATTCGATGAAGAGCAAACTTTATAAGGCAATATCTATAAATTACAGAATACAACCAAAAACCGAAAAACAAAATAAATGCTAACAACAACATAAGAACTGATGATCATCTACTCACATGCGTCTTCACTAGATCTAGCGATGAACCTTAATGCAATTTACAGTTGAATGAAAAAGGAATCGCTTAGAAAGGGGTACCACTTCCACTCCGAGTTTCAGCAGGGCTGTATAAAGCGGACCTATTCCTCGGTCGATTCTCTTCCAACTGCCTAACAACCTCATCCATCGTAGGTCGAACTGAAGCCACAGGAGCGCAACATCCCATTGCAAGTTTCAATGCTTGAACGAGCCCTTCTTCCATGGGATTCTTTGTTGCCTTCAACAGCTCCACGTCGAACACTTCCATTGTTGTTTCCTCCAAAACTGCCACTTTCACTAGTGAAGGCAAATCAACAAACCCCCCATTTCCTCCATTTTTACCAGGCCTTTTGCCGAGTAAAATCTCGAGTAGAAGTATTCCATATGCATAAACATCGGTTCGGGAATTGCATTTCTTCATCTTCTGTAGTTCCGGCGCCTTGTAGCCATCAGTTTTAGCTTGTGCAACTATTTCATCAGCCACAGATGGAATCATTATCTTGTCAAGTCCAAACTCATTGAGCCTGGCCACAAAGAAATCGTCAACAAGAACATTTTTCGATCTCACATTCCCATGAGTTATTGGTGTCTCAAGACCATGAAGATGAGCTAATCCCTTGGCTATTCCCAAAGCAATCTTGTGTCTCCTAGCCCAACTCAGCACTGGTTTTCCGACTCTGGATTCTGCATTCAAGTAGAAAATATAAGAATATACAATTAAGCTTGTGTTTCAAATATTTTCCATCAAGTCAATATCACAAAGCTTAGAAGCTAAGAATAATTGTTCCGAGTGCTTGCCTTCTAGAATCAATAAATGCAATTTATACCCTTTTTGTCAAGTCAAATTATCCATTTTACACCAAATGCTATCTAAATAAGTGAAACCTGATCTGCCATGCCTAAGCATTATCAAAAGTAATGTGATATAAAAAGCAAAAAACTTAGATCATTTGAACAAATGGAAGCAGTGTGTTTCTCAGTGCCTACACCTATCAGATCGTCAATCCCGTGAGAAAGCAAAATGCCAAACAGTGTTGTCTGTTTAGGGGTTCTGCAGCTGGATTGCAACATAAGGTCAAAATTTACGGAGGCTACACATGATATTATGCTTGCTCAAGAATTCATATTTTGGTGTCCTCTGCCAAACTTTTTGTTCACTCCCTAAGGTAATACATATTTCTTTGATGGAATAAGTTTTGACGAATCCGAACTGCACAAACTTAGATTCCTCAAAAACCTTAGTACTAACAGTATGTTGGGACCTCCAATTCAGTGGTAATCATAATTCTGATAGAAATGAGATGCTTCTATGTTCTACATGTATGCATAATACTGATTTGCACAATTTCTGCACTATAGAGAAAAGCAAAATCATCTACTTACCATGTAAAAGATCATAGAGAGTTTTGTTCGGTAGATAGTCATAAATGAGAAGCTTTTCCCCTCTTCTCCCTTGATAGAAAGCTCTCAATGGAATCAAACTGTCATGTCGAATTCGTCCCAATTGCTTAATCACAGGCAAACACAAACTTCTATCTTTACAACTACCCTCTCTCAACAACCTTAAAACAATGGTTCCTCCATCGGCTAATTTGGCCTTGTACACAGTCCCATAACTCGTCTTTTCCATAACTTGCCCTGTTGCATTCAAGACATCCTCCAATGTCAAATGCTCACCGCCCTGAAAGAAGACTAACTTCCCCTCACCACCGCCAGCAGCGCCACCTTCTTCTTCATCCTCTAGTTCCTCAAATTCCTCCTCCTCATCGTCCAGATTCTTCCGTTTCTTCCCTTGAAAATACCCAATCAACAATGAGACAAGAACCACAGCTCCAGTCATCAAACCAATGACAATTCCAGCAATTGCACCGGAACTCAATCCCGAGCTTCCACCACAAGATCTCAAGGGTTTCCCACAAAGAGTAGGACTATTCCCCTCAAAAGCCTCCACCCCAAACTTTGATTCCTCAAATTTTGGCAACACCCCACTAAAATTATTGTGCGAAAGATTCAATTTTTCCAACTTTAGCCCAGTAATACTCTCTGGAATTGGACCAGAAAACATATTGTTCCCAAGATCAAGCTCTTTAAGTCCATTGAACCTAGTAATGAACTCCGGAAAATTCCCAGAAAACGTGTTTTGTCCCAAATCAAGAAAATGCAAATCCTTGCAAGTAGCATCAGGTAATGCAGGATCAGGAAGAGAACCAGATAAAGAATTACCATGTAGCCGAAGCGAAACCAAGCGATCGCAGAGGTTCCAAATGGATGTTGGCAAAGCCCCAGTAAGCAAATTGTGGCTCAAATCAATATCTGATAGAGAAGAACTGTACCCAAGCTCCAAAGGGATTGTCCCAGAAAGTGCATTCACACCAAGATAAAGACTTTCAAGATTTGAAAATTCCCCTATCTCTCTAGGTAGTACCCCTGATAGATTTGCAGATGGGAGTTGAAGAGAAATGAGGTGCAAAAAGGGGTTTTTGTACAGAGAAAGACTGGTCCATTGCGGCGAAGAGAGGTCAGTACAAACCAAAGAAGTGCCATTGTTGAAGGCCCATTTGAGGCCTCTCCACTGGCAGAGAGGCACAGAAGCATTCCATGTAGACAACAGGAAATTCTCCGAATTCCCATTTAGTGAAGGCTTGAGCTTTTGCAAAATCAACTCGACATCTGAAGCAGAGTGAGAGAGAGTTAGAACAAGAGCAATGTAGAGAGAAAAAAGCTTCAAAGCCTCCATGAAAGTAGAAGTGTGACAAAAGGAAAAAGCATCAAAGAAGAAGAAGATGAAAAAGAAAAGTGAAATGAGGGTAGGGTTCTTGCTTCGAGTTTTTTCTTTTCTTTATGGAAAAGCTGACAGAGTGTTGACTGTGAGTGAACATTAATCAATAAAACTGTACAACTTCGATTTGATTACTCTCGTGAAATTTGGAAAAGTGGGTTTTGTAGTATAATTGTGTATGTTATTTTCATCTTTAATTTGCACGCCGCTTGGCCTTTGAGGGTGGGCTCCATTAGCAGGAGGACATAGTGGATGGAAAGGGAAAAGTATCTCTTTATACTTTCCGTTTTCTGTTTCCATTTTCTGTGTAGGATAGCAAATTTTGCTCCTCTTCTTGCTTTGATCAAAGGAGATTAGGGTTGCTAATACCCATATCGGAAGTATACTGGTTTTCATATTAAGAACATGTTTCGATGGAGCTTATATTGTGGGACCCACAACTTAATCTCGATGAACCTATTTGCCAAACATGTTCAAGTCTTCAGCGTTAACTTATCACTTTAAAATCAACTTATAGTGTGAGGTTTTGTTAAATCATATCCTTCGAATTGCTTCCTACAAGACCATGTTTGCTTTTGTTAAAGTTAGATTTTTAATAGATTTCGATAAAATTCTATCAATTGTGTGTTTAAAAAATTAATAAAATTGTGGATCATATGAAATTTTTATTTGAATATGAGTTTAAGTTAAAATGGGTTTTAAAAAATAAAGATGAAATATAAATTTATTGTAACATAAGTTGACGATAGTCATGTATATATCAATTGTATTCAAGCTTTAAAATGTCAATTTCATATAAATAGCATCTTCAATGGTGATGTAAAACTAGATATAAATTGATATCTCTAAAATCACTTTTGCATTCTCATTTATATTTCGAGGATTTAAATTCAAATTTTGCTTCAATGAGAAGATCTAAATTCAATATTTGCCTCTTTCGAATACAATTTTTTTTTTCATTTTCTGTCAAAAAATGTATTTTGCATCTTTTCATTGAAGAGGTTTCCATCTACTTTGGATATCTAAACCATAATTTAGATATATTTTACACCACAATCGAAGAAGTTCATATATTCTTAAAAATTTTACACCACGATCGAAGATGCTGTTATATTCTTTAATAAAAAAAAAAATCTCATTTACTTCCTTCCAAATAATAAAAGAAACAAAAAAAACTTCATTTATGAAGCATTTTGAATTAGTTGGAGAGACAAAAAGTCGTGTCGTGTGTGTATGCGTATGCCTTTATACAATCTGTAGTGTGCACGGTCACCTTTGGGCTTTGGAACTGCTGATTTTGTTTCTCAATCTCTAGGTTTTGGTTTGCTGTACTGCAGGCAAAAAATAAATATAAAATAATTTTCTTTCCTTCACTTCTGTTTGTAGCCGTCCACGTGTCATGATATCTTGATTTTGAACTAGGGATATCTAATGAAAGAGTAGAGATGGTGGGTGTGGGTGTGCGTGTCCGATAGGCTTGTAGTTTTCAAATGCAGAGGATAATTTTGTTGAAGACATGAGGACAAGGATAGATGAATATGTCTACACAACTTTTATGATCTTGTAGGTCAAGAGGGACCATGATACATGGAACATTAAAGAACTAGTACTAGGAAGTCAACAATCATGAGATGGTACGCGGAATGTATAAATAATAAGTGAGCGATATTCATGAAACTTGTTTATATATAATGTCTGAATAGAAAATAAGTTTGATTTTTTTATGTTATAGCCCCTGTTTGTTTGGCATTAAATCTCAATTGTAGACAAATTCTGACCGTTAGCAGCCTACAATTTTTTACCATTGTCTCACTGCGTGGGACCCACTATTTGAAAATAACGGTTGAATTTCTCATTTTGTCAGGAGAATAATGCACAACAAACAGGCTCATAATTAACCTCAGGCAAAAATGCACGAAAAATGGCTTTAAATTTTGTAAAAAGCGTGCTTGGTGATCAAACTAAAACGAAGTTGAAATTGCATTAACGGGTTTGAAATAAAAAAGGGTTAATGATTAAAATGAAACTTTGCCCAAAATTTGATGATCATCTCTACTATTTTTTTAGCCTTGCTCAAAAATGATAAAAAAGAAGTTTGAAAACATCATGCATGCAAGGTTATGATGTAGTTCACAACTTTATGTTGCTCTATAAATTGCAAGCTTTGGACAATATATCGCGTTGAAATCACATCGATTGAAATTTAAAAAGTAAGGACAATCTTCATGTATATAGTTAATAATTTATTTTTTCAAAAGTTTTACACGTACATAGTTTTTATAAATGGATAATAGCAAAACTAATGACTTTTGGTATGCTCTTGAACACTTTATCTAAAAAATTAAATTGTTAGACAATGAACAAATTTATTTATTTATTTTATCAATAACATTTGGAATAAGAAAATAATTGCGTCAAGGTAAATTGCTATACTGAGTACCTCAAAATCAAGTTGTAGAACTCGATGGACGTGTAATAAATGTGAGAAGCATCCGTCCTGATTTGCCTATATAATGATGAATAAGAGGGTAGCGAACAACGTCTCTAATCAACCTTCTTATAGTAGTTTTTGCTAAGTTCCCAAAGTGCTTATTCAGCTTTCTTTATTAGAGCAAATGACTGTATTCAAGAGGATCATACTTGAATAATTTAACTTTGAAAGTTTCAATCTTCACGTAAATCTATTTTTAACTGTGTCAATAGCTTGTTATTTATTAAGATTTGGGGGTCCATTTTAGTCTCATATTGAGACCTATTTTTGGCATAGAAAGTGATCGACTTGGAGAATGCTGTCTGAATCAAAGTTGTAGCCAGATGAGTTAGCTTTCCAACGCATTTTGAATCGCCTCAATCGAACATCGGAATACGAAGTTATGATAAAAACATTGAAGGAAGGTACAGCTGCCTGTTTAAAACAATAAATTCCGTTACATAATCCGTTAAAATAACAAATTCCGTTAGTTTTTCCGTTAAACCAACAAATTCCGTTAAATAGGCACTTTTTATATATAGAAAGATTTTATCAATAACATTTGGAATAAGAAAATAATTGCGTCAAGGTAAATTGCTATACCGAGTACCTCAAAATCAAGTTGTAGAACTCGATGGACGTGTAATAAATGTGAGAAGCATCCGCCCTGATTTGCCTATATAATGATGAATGAGAGGGTAGCGAACAACGTCTCTAATCAACCTTCTTGTAGTAGTTTTTGCTAAGTTCCCAAAGTGCTTATTCAGCTTTCATTATTAGAGCAAATGACTGTATTCAAGAGGATCATACTTGAATAATTTAACTTTAAAAGTTTCAATCTTCACGTAAATCTATATTTAACTGTGTCAATAGCTTGTTATTTTCAAAATGTTTCACTTGTTTCATTTAAGGACGTGAAATTGTAAGGATTGTGTGCATGCAGGGATGGAGCCCACATTTTAATCTAGCCAATGCCCGCCTCTTGACTTTACTAATATTAAATTTTAACAAATGTGTGTATAACAAATTATGAACCTTCTAAAATATGTGAGTGAAAAATACATTTGACTGACCTAAAAATATTGAACTTTGCAAAATATGCTCAAATAAATAATTTATGTTCCTTAATTTGTGAGAGTCAAAGGAGGAAGGTAGAATTTGGGCACTTATATTCTGACTTTGTATTACAATGCAAAGGAATGGTTTTTGGGAAAAAGAAATTTGGCCTCATGGGTCTTTAAAGCATTGTGGGAGCATTTACCCCAATTTACTGATAATTAACTATTTACCTGAAGAGAGAAAGTTTTACGGTGGTTCGTGTTTATAAATTGAGTATTGCTATTCATCCCCATTTTTCACTGGGGCTGAAACTTTGTCTACATGGCTGCACAATCAACATCCTACGTGGCAAAATGTTAAATTTTATTTTTAAACCAAAAATGTAATTCACGTGTTTTCCTAAAAAAAATCCAAACCTTTCATCTTCCTAATCCCATTAAAGAATGAATCTACAGAATACATCTCAGTTTCTCTCTCTTGCCTTCTCCACCACTGCACTCCGACGATGACAAAAGTTATTAAAGACGAGGCTTGAATTTCTGGTGGCACCACTGATGATGGCACCACCTTCTCCACCACCGCACTCAGTTTGACATGGATGATGTCCTCATCGATGATAAATCCACTAGTATGCACTCTTAGAAGCCTTTAAATTGCACTATTGCAGACAATTTACATAATTGTCACTTTTATAAGTACTTATGTCGTGCCAATTAGATAATTTTTGCTCCCACTGTAATGTGGTCTACAACCCATTCTGAATTTTCAATGTCATATGGTGGATTAACATTGGCGGATTAAGCTATAATCTCCAAATGAATATTTATTTTATTTCGTAATGATATTAGTCATTAATGATTGTTTCTAATTAATAGATTAGTCATCAATTACTACTGGTTTTAGTCATTATTTTATGTTTATCTTTTCATAGATTATAAAGCGATTGAAATGTTGATTGAAGAAGGCCATACGTTGGATACAAGTGATGAAGAATATGTGGATGAACATTAGTCAAATAAGAAATTGGTCAGTGAAGAGATTATTCAAGCACTTGAGGTTGGGATGACTTTTGAATCACTAGACTACCTTTTTGGGTATTATAAACAATATGGAAAACAAGAAGGCTTTGGAGTTAAAAAGAGAACAACATGATCATTGGAAAACAAGAAGGCTTTGGAGTTAAAAAGAGAACAACATGATCATTTGGAGACTTGACATTTGTTTGCGTGTCATGTTGTCGAGTTGGGAATTCAAAGTCTGTAGAACAAAATTACCTCAATCCTAACCCATTGTCGAAATTGGGGTGCAATGCTAAGGCTAACACTTATGTATTAAAAGATGGAAAGTACAAGATAAATTCTATTAGGCTGGAGCATAATTAAGGGCTGAGTCCACAGAAATCACGATTTTACTCATGTAATAGAGAAAT